ATACTGTAGCCTTCATTTTCACATTGTTGTGCCTCACATAGCCTTCATTTTCACATTGTTGTGCCTCACATAGCCTTCATTTTCACATTGTTGTGCCTCACATAGCCTTCATTTTTACATTGCTGTGACTCACACAGTCTCTGGCTTCATTTTTTATACTGCTGAGACTAATGTAGTCTGTCTTAATTTTTACACTGGTGTAACTCATGCAGTCTCAGTCTTCATTTTAACACTGCAGTGACTCGTGCAGTCTGTCATCAGTTTTGTACCACTGTGACTCAGAGAGTTTATTTTCTGACACACCACGGATTCAGGGTACGTCCTTTTCCGGTTTTGTCGAGTTATACAATACAGCAGATTTATGTGATTGCAGGACTGTACAAAGCCTGAATACTAAAATAAAGCCTAAAAACTTCAAGAAAATAACTTTTGTGGCTTTAAATATCTAGACTCTTCAGAGGCAGCGTCTGTCACATGACAGACTAACAGGTAAACCCCTGTATTCGCCCTGAGCATCACGGTCAGTTTGTATGTGTATCATGACTGGCGAGTTTGCCCTCAGTAAACCTTGCATCTGTCATCCTTACACTTACAGCATTCATACACCCTGACAATCACTGAAACGATCTGGCACCCACCCCAGGGAGCAGCTGGTCGCTCACTTGCGATTTATATCCAGAAGCCTTTCGTCTGACGTCCCCCTACTCACTGTGCCATCCCGACTGCTAATGTAAATGTTCTCCAGGGGTCGTATTTAGCTCATTTAGCTGGCGTGATGCTGCTACTGCGTGTACAGCAGCAGGCCCGGAGCAGGGGAAAGGCCCCAAGCCAGAATGCGGGGCTACTGAGCTGCCTGACAACGGACATGTGCTTCCTGTAGAGAATCCTAATCCGGTCCTTGGGGACCCGTAGGCAGTCCATGTTTTTGCAGGGGTGGCGAGGAAGCAAAAATGTGCACTGTCTGGCAGGGAGCTGGCTGCGAGCAAAAACTTGGACTCTCTGTGGGTCCCTGAGGACCGGGAAATGCACATCAGCACTAATGCGGGCAGCCTGTGGAGCGTGATGCAGGATACCTGACAGGCACCTGTTGCTCTGCACCCCCTTCCTCCCCAGGAGTTTGTGGCCCTGTCGCAGAGACTTCTGGGAGACCGGCGGCTGGCAGAGCACATGGTGCGGAACGCAAAGCGTTACGTGTCGGAGTACCACAGCTCGCTCGCCGAAAGGACGGCCTACCAGCGGCTGGTGGAACTTCTCCACTGAGCCAAAGACACCGACGACCCCCCCCCTTCCCTACTGGCCATCAAGACCCAGAGCTACAGGAGTGTGGGAAGATCAGCTGCCCATATGACTGACCTTTTAACCTCACTTAACCCACCCCCCCAAATCCCCAGTCTCCTTAAGCCAAGCCTAACATAGGGTGGGGGACTGACTGCTGATTGTCCAGCTACTTTGTTTAATCTTGGGGAGAGTTTACAAACATAAACAGGATCCAACCCTTAAGGACCAACACGAGAAGATTGGATGCATTCAGTCTAGACCACACGGGTTCTCTAAACTGTGACGGCTTCATCCCGAAGGTTATCTCATCTCAGGGGGACTCGGCAGCATCATTAATGACACACACCCCCCCAACCCCTCTAATAAATTTTTTCCACTGAGCAACTCAAAACGATATTTCGGTTTGGAAAATGGAACGCTACTATAGCATATAAATCTGAACAGCAGGAAGGGGAATTGGACAGTGGCGATTTTAATGATTACAAACATTTCTACTAGGGAGTATGTGTATATTTTTGCAGACACCAAGATATCACTGTTTACTTTTAAAAAGCAGATTTAAGTGACGCTCCGGTGAATCACTCTTTTCCTTATTTTGAACTGAACTTTGTTATTCAGTCTTCATGGTTTATCAGCTATTTCTATTCTGCAATTTATAAATATTTAAATTGACGAGATTGTGTGCAGGAATTTCTTGTGTTCGGTTGTTCTTGCACAGTGCGTGTGCTTATAAGCCATATGGATCGGAAATACCAGTGGTGTCCAGATTCAAAATGCCAGCTGTCAGTTCGACACAGTGGTCTGTCATGCATTTGCTGTTTGGGCTGGACTGGTGAGAGCAGCATTTGTAGTCACACCAGCAGCCATGTAAGGTGAGGAAAAGGTCCATCCATCCATCCATCCGTACTATTATCCAGGTCATGGTGTGTCAATAGCGCATGATATTGGATGCTTCCTGATTTCATTCTGTGTTTTTTTTTCTTAAAAAGGAGCAGATTAGGACATCATGCCGCTTCGTGACATTTTGAGAGCAGCACGGCGTCTCAAATGGTAATGATCGATATCAGGATGCTCTGGAAGATGAAGTACATGATTTTAAAAAGAAAAAAGCTTTATACACTTACACGAAAGAGCACCAGTGTTAATTAAGAATGAAGCTTTCATGATGGTCTAACAGCAGAATGTACCGACATCATAACTTTTATGTTGGGCTTCAGCGTGAAAGGCTACTGTGTGGTGCAATCAAACAAATGACAAGCGATGAGCACGGTCTAAGCCCCGCTGGGGGCCACGGGGGGGGGGGAGGAGTGAAATAACAGACTCCTTACTAGCTGTGAGCAGGACCGGACACTGGGGGGTAAATCAGACGAACGGCAAGGCATGGGACTGCAGAATATACCAAAGAAATGAGAACCTGTAGTGTTCCGTACTGCATGCTGTTTCATATTCTGCTGCTCCCCCTCTGATCTTCCATGCACATGAGAAAACTGCATTTTCTCCAGCTAAAAACAGCCCCCCATGGCTACCCTTATGCTCATATTCCTCTCCTGCTCACATCCTTTTTGATGTTATTTTATTTACTTTTTACTAATCTAATTCTGGCTTCTTATGTAACGACATGCAAAAGCGACGAGGTAATGCTGTGAAAGGAGGATTCTGGGAGGGCTGCAGCCTCACCTTGGAGCCGCATCTTGCCGTTTATAATGCAAAGTATGTTATGTCTCCCAGGCCAGGTCACTGGCATATGATTTTTTAAGTCTGAGAAATACTCCTCACACTCACAGATTTAATTAGATCTGTTTGTTGACGCACAGGAGTGAGCAGATTGTGGAGATTGACTTTTTTAAAAGGTGTGATTACAAACTTCAGCGAGTCTGCCCCAGCCTCTCTGGGAGGGTTGATTTCACCCTGCGACAAATGACTCAATTTCGAATGCGACACGGTACCTAATTCATGACTCCAGCACACCTGCGCAGTAAATGTTTCGTGACTGCGGATCACACCTAGAACCTCGGAGGTCACAGCCTAAAAAGCAGGGCAGGCATTGGATGTCCTTGCTGAGTCTCACCTCTGAGGACCAATCACGGTTTTGTGTTGGATCCAAACGTCGACATCATCACTGCAACGGTCTCTCATTGGACTCGTGGTCAAATTCTATGCCAGTGGCACAGTGTTCATAGAAATGCACTAATACGCATCGATGAAGAAAAGGCAAAGCTTCAGGAGTCATCAACCACCAATAAACACGTGATTCAGGATTAGATTGGATTAGGGGCCAATCGGGGCCATCCTGCCAGCAGCCCCTCCCCCTAGCACAGAGGAGGATACGGCTCAGTAAAGGCGGCCCTGTGCTTCAGCCCGCCCCCATAGTGCTGGGGGCCCCCGCTATAATTCACTTAGTGGCTTCATAAAATGGCCCATAAAGAAGCTGTCTATTAAAGAAATGACAAAAAAAAAATGTGTGGTAATTGCCTGGCCTGAGTGTGTAATGAAAAAGGAGTTAAAGGCAATACAGTTGCCTCTGAGCATGTCCCTGGTGCTCATGTCACTGAGCGCTGTCACTGCCTCACTGAAGACCTGGGAAAACTCTGGCGGACGTGTCCAGCCACCTGCTCCCCTCCCCCCATATTGGTTTGCCGGTTAAAATGGAGCTGGGAGACCAGCCTTTGCTGGGTGTTCTGCAGAGTGCCGCCCCAGTGTGTTCAGAGCATGAACATCCTCGAGCCTCCGTTCATATCCAGCTAATCTCTGGTGAAGCGAAACTCAGCAGAGTTCAGATGCGTCTCCAAAGGCCCCGAGGAAGCTTCGGGTCGTCTTACATTCCTTGTCTTGTTTCATGAGTGCACAACCCATGTTGCAAAACTGGGGGGAAAAAGAAACAATCAGCATTACAAAGTCCTGACTTTAGGGGAAAAATCTGACAGTTTATCAAAGGTAAGATTCAAAAGAGCAACAACATAGAGGAAGTGAAGTCAGCAGAATAATGTACAATATGTCTTCGATAACCTGGCAGATTCTGGGGGGACCAACAGTATACAGGGACCCTTAAATATGTAAAATTATATGTAAAATTGGGCAGGGGGGCTAAAGTGATATTTCTAGGTATGCTCCAGTATACCCTTACAAAAGGATCTCTTCTCAAGTTTATTTTTATGAACAATCAAATGATCTTCACGCTCCCAGGTTTTTTGTTGCTGCTTGATTGACAGCTGACTGACTCCTCCCACTGCTTCTATATGTCAAATTTCTCCAGGACCTGGCTGTATGTTTCCTGTGTGCGGTAGGACAGCAGGAACAAGGCTCACGCGGTCATTACCCTTGACCCTCCCTCTGGTATCCTGCATTCTTCAGGATAGACACGCCACAAAATCTTATTAAACCCAGCTGAACAAAACACCGAATGACACCGGTATTTGGCCTTAAGCCCGCGGATGTCTAAATATGCTCATCCATTACCATGAGTGCTCTTCCTGGGCTGCTCCTTCCGCGCTCCTGCGCAGGGCTTGGCAGAATCCATCTCACCACTCACTGGCTCGTATCCGTTTTTGTCCTTCTTACATGTGTTAACAGCTTGGAGGTTTTTCCTTGAGGTTCGTCTCATCACTTCAGCAGAAGTTCTTGCTCGAAGGAGACTATGACTTATTCTCCACAGGCTCCAACTTCAGCCGGCATAGGACTAACCCTAACCCTAACCCTAACCCTAACCCTAACCCTAAACTTAACCACATTGATGGGTCGTACTACAGATGCAGAGGTGTACTCTCTTCCCCTTACTGGTGGGGGATCCTAGGACAGGTCACAGGGTGTCTCTGGAGATCCTGTCGAAGACATGCTTCCGAATGGGCAGCCGTCCATCTTGCCCTGAACCACCAAACCATCCACCACTTTTCTGATGCCAACAAAAGTGGTGGCACACCCGACCAGCAGCAGGAGGTCGGCATTGGTGCCCAACCACACCCAGCAGTGCTGGTCACCCTTGGGCACCAAAACGGACATTTGCTCATGATGGACGATGGACAGTAGGACATGCACAACCACCTCCATTTCTGAGAGGAGATGGGGGGCCTGCGACAGACTGGCACAGTGCCCAGCCCTGGGGTATTTTTGTGCAACAGATCCCTGGTGCTTCTGCCCGTGCACGGGTGCCATCCCATCCTGCATGGTGGTTTTGACTGTGGAGATCTTGTGTGTGGCACCCTCCTCGGGGTTAGGTATAAGCTGCTGGTCAGCGCCCACTGTAGGACCAGTATTTTGCACTCAGTCCCCCAGGTCCCCACAGTCATTGCTATGGTCAGTGTTGCTGCCCACCTGTCATCACTGATGTCCATGGCGCCATCTGCTGGCTGCAGCCCCAAAGTCTGACGGACTTCAACCCAGAACCACCATCATTAGGACTTCAGGCACTCCTTGCTGACTGTCATCTCTACCTCGTCCAGCTCTCCGCAGCTCTTGCCCTCTGCCACGACAGTGGCTGGAGACATCCAGACGGACACCACGCTTGCGTCCAGCAATGTTACAGTTAGGGGGTAATGGTCAGGGTCACAAATGTCCATGAGTGTCAGGGAACCATTGCTAAACTGGATATAGAAGCTAATCACAGCTTCCTAAATGACAGGAAGTGCATCAGACTGAAGTGGGAGCATAAGGAGCATGTGACTCAGGGGTCTTAAAAGCCCCTTTCATAGCAGACAGTCTCTTAGACCCCGTCGATGGTCCGCTTGCCCTTCTCCTTGTGTTCACTGGGAAACAGCAGCAGACTTTACACCATAATTGCTTCTTAAAAATGAGCACCTTTAATACGTTTCCAGGACATCACGCAACTTCATGGCTTTTTGAGAGCACCAGGGCTACTTAAATGGTAACGATCAATATCAGGATGTTCTAGAAGAAAAAAAGAAGAAACCCTATGTGTTGGTACAGTGAAGAGCACCAGTGCTAATTAAGAACCCAAAATGCTCATAAAGAGCAGTCCTTCCAGCTACATTTATATTGACATTAACGTTATCTCCTTATGAAGCATCCTGCTTATTTTAGAATACTGTATTTAGAATCATTGTCGTGCAGTGCTGATGCCATGTGACGGGCATACCCGCTACCCACGTTGTCAGAGGACCAAGACTCATCACGGTAATGTTCCACATATCAAGGCACACATTGAGCTCGTATCCGTCCTGAAGAGAATCGGGATTGAGGGAGCGTCGTTCAGTCGTATGGCACCGTCCGGACACTGCCCCTGCAAACGTGTCTCTGTGAATTAGCGTCTGGCCACCGCAAGAGAGTGGAACCCCGGAGCTTCACTTCCCGTCTTTCCTGAGCGGTGACTCGGCATGTGATCTCTGGATAAACACCCAATCTGGTCCGTGACGCA